TACACATTCAGTATGGACCAGATCATCAAGTGTCCGTATACACATTCAGTATGGACTAGGTCATCAAGTGTCCGTATACACATTCAGTATGGACCGGATCATCAAGTGTCCATATGCACATGCAGGGAGAAGTTAAAGAAAATTAGTCCTAACCAAAATCCACAAACTCACTGCCATCGAGTTGATTCAGACTCAAAACAACCCTACCGAACAGGGCAGACGTTCCCTGTGTGGGCGTCAGAGGCATGACAGGAATAGAATGCCTCATCTTTTCCCCATGGAACAGGTAGTGGTTTCGAACTTTCTGGTTAGCAGCCCAAGGCATAATCGACTACACTACCAGAGCCCCGACCTTGAGTTAGCCAACCTGAATTTCAAGAACAGATTTGACACAGTGAATTCTAATGACAGAAGACCTGACAAGTTGTACGATGATATTAAGCACACATACATGAAAAAAGCAAAAAAGAAAAAAGCAACAGGGCAGTAAAAGGCAGGAAAGAAAAGAAATAGTAGGTGTCAGAAGAAAAGCTAAAGCAAATGGAAATGACAAAGCAGAAGAGCTGGACTGAAAATTTCATAGGGTGGCTAGAAAGATAAGGTGTAGTTTCGTGTAAGAAAAAAGTACTTCCAGGGGAGAAACTTCAACTCATTTGAGCTAGACCGTGAATTAGGGAGGAATTACCAGTAGGTAGAGTCCCAGGCAGGTGGAAACGAAGTACAGTCTTATTGACACACCTGGCATTGCCATGAATCAGAATGGACTTTGTGGGAACTCCTGACAAGCAGAGACGGATACAGGGGATAGAGATGAAGTCCTGCATCAGTAAAGGGAAAATGGTTTAAAAACACACCACCTATGGAATGTATCAGGAAGAACTAATTTAAACCTATTGCATTCCCTAATAAACCCTCATATTTATTTTTGAACTTGTAGACATGAAAGTTTTCTACATTTCGGCTTGCATCCCTTCCTGTGTGACCGTATTCAGGGCCAGGGCCATAATAGAGAAAGGCGTTCCAGTCAGGCCCTTGTGCTGATGAGGCCTCCACCCCATCCACTCTGAGTGAGGAGCCCTGCTCCCCTTCCAGCTAAGCACTTGGTGTGAACAAAGGGGGCCTTTGCCGGGCCTGGTGTGCAGGTCTTAAGTACCCCCGTGTGAGTAGGAAGGGCCCTCCCAGGGCTACAGGGAAAAGACCACAGCCATCTCTGTGGGAGCCACAGTAAGCCTTAGATACTGCTGGGGGGGAGGGGAAGGAGCATTCTCTCTGTCCCCACTCCATTTCTTTTCACCCTCTTACTTCTTGGCCACCCCATCTCCCGATCTCTGCCCCCTTACTTCTGCTGTGAACAGCCTTCACACAGCAAACGAGAGGTGCTTCCAGCCTGCAACTGCAGAACACCCCCCACCCCCACCCCTGGGCCCCAAGCAGCTTTGGAGAATGGGGACCAGGTAGCCAGAATTGGGCCGGTTCTCGGCCACCCCAAACTGAGGGAGCCCAGGGTTCTGATCCGCTGGCTAACTCACCCACCCGGGTAAGCATATACACACAGAATGAAGGGAGGAGGTGTTGAAGCAGGGAGGTCCCAGCTCCGTGGGTGAGAAAAGAGCTGGGGTCTGTCGGCCCCGGCTTTGTGGGGCTGGGGGAGGCGACAGTTCCCCCATAACTGAATGTGTCTGTGAGTTGTGTGGTCATGCCAATAGCTTACCAAACTCAGTAGAGAAGTGGAGTGCCATGGGAGGTATAACTGGTGAGGGAGAAAGAACGGGCTGTGGAATCGTATATGACCTCTGCCTTGTGGCAGTCAAATTTGGGCTACTGTGGAGGATTTGCCTTCTCCCTTGTGTAACCAAAGGAGTTTAGATAAAGGCCTCCAAGCCGTTTGCTTGGCATAATGGTTAGATAAAAGGCAGCTAAATGGTAAATCAGCAATCAAGCCCACCCAGCAGTTCTGTGGGTAATCTGTGTCTGTGAAAAGTACAGCTTAGAAAATGCCAATGGGCATTTCTAGTTTGTGATACAGGGTCACTATGAGCACCCATTGGATCAACAGCACGAAACGACTCAGCACTCAGCTGAAACAACGACTCAGCATTCAGCTGCTATCTGAAAGGTTGGTCGTTCACACTCAAGAGCCACTCTACAGAAGAAAGCAAGCTGATAGTCTTGGGTTTCCTCAGGGTCACTATGGCTCTGAGTCTAAAGGCAATGAGTTTTGTTTGGTTTTGGTCAGTCTGGCTGAATGGGCCAAGCGATTCAGTGATGGACTTGCTGGCACCACCT